TGCGCGCGTTCGGGGGGCGGCATGGCCCCTGCCAAATAACACCATTGAGGCCACTCGCGCCCGTCGGCCCTTCGCGCGCGCGCGAAATCCGGCCAACACGTTCATCGCCCACAAGCGGGGGCCATCATCGTGATCGGCATGATCAGCATCGGCGCCGTCAGTGGCCTTGCTGTTGGCCTTGCCGTCATCACTGTCATCGTCGTTGTCGACGTCGCCACGATGCCGCGCCCGCCCGGGTCACCGACTCGCACTGAAGTCTCCGCGCGTCAGCGCGGCCTGCGGGGCGCGCTGGGAAGTCCCCAGCAGTCAGCGGCAACGCGGACGCGTCGGTCGCGCCAGAGTAGTTAACCGCTCTGCGCGTGAGCCTGCGCGTGCTAGCGCGGCCGCAGCGATGCGCCAGCCAGCGCCAAGCAGTCATCGCAATCGCCACCGCGTGGGTTCTGCAAACCAACTTGCTGGTGCGAGCAGCGGAGCTGGCAACTTCAATTTCGGCTTGGTCAAGTGCAGCGCGTATATTGCACCGCGTAGATTGCACCGCGTAGTTGGGCGGCACAGCATGCAGTGCGCCGCGTATATTCTCCCCTTCTAAACGAATATTCGGGTCTCCCACCTGGGGTAAACGGTCCACCTTCTCGTTTATATGACTCTGCCCCATCGTCCATCTGAAATTTCCACTCGTGCCATCCCAGCCAGGTGGGAGCTCGCTCCCCCTTGACCCTGGGCACCAAATTATGCGCGGGCTCGCTTATCACAAATCGTCAGCTTGTCCCTTGCAACGCGTGGGGCGAAGTGCACGCGCGCGCGTCGTCGCGCGCGCATGCCGAAATCGCTGTAAACCCCATGGTCTCGCAAGGATTTCAAAACCGATCATCCGAAAAAAAAATTGCATTGCAACAACAAAAGGATTTCAAACTCAGCATGCGCCCACGCTCTCGCAAATTCTTACAAAAAGAAAGAGGCCCTTGTTTGATTTCACCATGTTCAGTGCATGCTCCCAAACGGGCTTCTCGCGCGCTTGTCATGTTCGCTCGAACGCCCTTGAGCGCGCGCTGATGCAATCATCCCTTTCAATCGACGGGGCGACGCGCACGCGCGCGCATCGTCACGCGCGCATGCCGAACCTGTTCAACAAAACACCCAAGCAATAGTTGCTTGAAAACATATAAACACACATGGTCTTGCAACGTGCACTTTTTTCTCAGGGGAAACCCGCGCTCGCGATCCTGCATAGATGTTCAACAGTTTCATCGCATCCCCTGCCAAACGGGCCCCCCGCGCCGCATGTCGAATTCATTCGAACTCCCTTGCGCGCGCGCTGGGGGGGGGGGGGGGAGGGGGCGCGATCCGTGTCAATGATACCGCGCGGGCGAATCGCGCGCGTCGGCCGCGCGCGCACGTCGACCTCCTTCAAAAACTTCCATCGCCGACGCGAGGACATCGTCATCGTTATTGGCGGGCGTGATCAACGTCGGCGCCGTCATTGGCCTTGCCGTTGTCACCGCCGCCATCTCCACCATCACTGCTACTTTCATAATCGCGTCTACTGTTGCATCGCCATGATACCGCGCCCGCCCAGGTCACTGATTCGCACTGAAGCGGCCGTTGGGAAGTACCCGCCGGTCAGCGCCGCCGAAGCCGCGTCGGTCGCGCCAAACTGGTCGGCAGCTGCGCGCGCGAGCATGCGCGGGCTAGGGCGGCCGCATACTCGCACCCAGCCAACGCCAAACATTCATCGCAATCGCAGCCACATGCGTTTTGCAAACCAAGTTGCGGGCGGGTTGGTGGGTGGGATGTTTGCAGGGGCATGGGATTGTCAACTCGCGTGTAAAACAATTAATTCTCTTTTCTAAAGAAAGAATAGACTCGACCCCCCCTGGAGCTCACGGGCCCCATTTTCGCATTGCAATTTGCATATGATTCTGTCCCATCGTCCATCCAAAACATGAGTTCTTACTATCCCGGCCAAACCGGCATCACTCCCCCCCGCCGTCCTCTGCAACAGGATTTTCTTCGCGCGCACTTCTTCATCGCAAATCATCAGTTGTCAAGAGCCCCTTGCAAAACTTACCTCAAAATCATCACGCGCGCGTCCACGTCAAAATCGTACCAACCACAGTGTGTTTGCAAGCAGTTCAGCATAAACACCTAAAAAGCCCAACGACTTTGCAAACCAGAATTTGCACATTTCCTGACCGCGCGCTCATGCTAAAATAAAGCAAAAACCATCGGATGTTTATTAATTCTGCCACATCCAGCGATTTCATGTCACCGCGCGGTGCACCCGCGATATTCCTGTCATGCGCCGAGGGCGCGAATCCCTGGCAACAAGTTACCACGCGGGCCACATGCGCGCACCGCCGCGCGCGCACTGACGGATTTGTTGAACTTCCGCGCGCGTGGATTTCCTTTCCAACCTTGTCAGCATCATCGCGATCACCTGCCTCATCGACAGGTGGACATCAGCATCGTCAACGTGTTTGCCATCATTGGCGCCGGTATCGTTCGTGCCGTCGCCCTCTTGAACATCGTCGTCGCTGGTGCCATCTTCGTCATTGCCGCAGACGTTGCCGACGTTATTTTGTCATCGCGCACGTCCGAGTATCATCGGTATGCTCACGTTCATCATCGACTCACGGTGGCGAGTTCCGGCAGTGAGGATGCGATCGTCGATGTCGTCATCGGTGGCGCCGCCGTCGTCCCCCGCATCATGAGTTTTACCAAACAAGTTGCGGGTGGGAGGGTGGGATGTTTGCGCGAGCAGTGGAGGTGGTCAAACGCGGTGCAGTGAGTCAAGTACACTACATAGATACCGCCAGAAAGATTTCACCGCATACGTTGCACCACGTACATGGCACACTCTGTTCGGGCCCACGCTGTCTAACATATCTTGGACCCGCATTAAACGGGGAGCGGGGGGGCCATGAGGAAGAGGAGGATGAAAGGGAAAAGAGGGGAAGGACGATGAGGAGGTGAGATGAGAGTGGGCTGCGGGAAAAAAAGCTGGGTGAAGAGGGCGGAGGGGGAAAGGAAACAGGGGAATGAGGGGAAAAGGACCGGAGGAGGGGGTGAGGACCAGGAAGGAATAAGTGGACGAGGGAGGGTCGAGTGGCGAGCGGACTGCAGTGACAGCGGCGATCCGCCAGGTCAGGCCAGGCCAGGCCAGCCGGCTGTTCGCAGCAGCGACGTGACAAAGACCCGGATATTCATAGGAGGAGGAGGAGGAGGAGGAGGAGGAGCAGGAGAGGAGGAGGAGGAAGGAGGATGAGGAGGAGCAGGGCAAGTTAGGAGGAGGAGGAGGAGGAGGAGGAGGAGGAGGGGCAGGAGAGGAGGAGGAGTAGGAGGAGGAAGGAAGGCGAGGAGGAGGAGGAGGAGGAGGAGGAGGAGGGGAGGAGGAGGAGGAGGAGGAGGAGGAGGAGGAGGAGGAGGAGGAGGAGGAGGATGGGTTGAGTGATCGGTGGGGTGAGGAGTGCTGGGGGATCGGGGGGGTGGAGCAGGGCGGGGGCGCAGCCAGAGGGGGCGGACGCACTGCAGGTGCGTCGGCTGCCCCACACGGGCGAGCGGCCCCCTGACCGAAGCGAGGAGGGGGTCGCCAGCGGGGCCCGTCATCGTGCGCCCCCCCACGCCCCTCCCGCTCCCACCAGTACACCAAACCACCATGCCGCAAGGAGGGCTGCCGAAGGACCGCAAGGACCTTGCGGTCCTTCGGCTAACGAAGTCGGCCGTGGGGAGAGGTGCCGACGCGCCTCCATAATTTGGACCTCACTACCTGAAGGCGCCAGTTGCCTTCACCCAGTGTTTCCCTCCCTCCCTCAGTTGGCCAGGCCCACCGTCCCGATTGGACGGGGCAGCTGGATTCTTCTGCCCCCGTTTCCTCAATGACCCGAACGTGGCACCCAAAGTCAGAGGAGCCCCAGTTCGCCATCGGGCACCTGAGGCGCGGAGGGGGAAGGGCCTTGTGAATTGTGAATGCACTGCTGCTGCTCCTCCGCAGCCGCTTTGGCTCGGTTTGCTTCCAGCGCGTCCCCCTGGTCGCCCAGAACACGCAGGTTTTCGACCAGCAGGTGAGGTGCAATGCTGCACGTCGCCTCAGCAGCAGCATTGGCTCAAACTGGCTGGCGGCGTGCACAGGGGGCGCGGCCTGCTGAGAAGGCCGGGTGAGGGAGTGAGGGGGCAGGGGCTTGAAGGCCCCAGAGGCTTTCAATCAGCATCTTCCGTGCCTTGTTTGAAGCCTCTGGGCCATTCTCAGAAGGCGCCTCCATTCTTGCCCATCCTCCTCCTCCTCCTCCTCCTCCTCCTCCTCCTCCTCCTCCTCCTCCTCCTCCGCCTCCTTCTCGACCTCGTCCTCATTGTAATCTCGCGCCGTTTTGCTGCACAAGCCAAGGATTCACGTGCGGCCTCGCCTGTTGGAGGCGGATCCTAGCGTGGCTCCGGATCTGCTTGTGTCGCCCAGCGTTTGTCGCAGAGGGGTGCGATTGTTTTGCACCCTACCTTGTCAGACGGTCGGCCTTTTGGCGCCACCCCAGACGTTCGACGTCGCGGCCCAGAAGTCCCGCCCCGAGTCGTTTTTCGACGGGCCCGGGGCCCGGTGAGCGCCTCGAGAAGCCGACAAAAACTACGTCTCGAATTCCGTCCCGATGTTGTTCGATACGTTGGAGGTCTGGGCTCGCCCCCCGCCCCCCGTGCCCGCCGCCACACCAGCTTCGCCCGGCTCACCATCTCCTGCGCGGGCGCCTTCGCGCTGCCCGCCGCGCTGCTGCTCTGCTTGTCCGTCTCCATCTGTTCCGCGCTGCCCCACGCGGTCTTGGCGGCGCTGGGCCTGCCGGCGGCCGCCCGGCGCGGCCTCCTGCGGCTGCGCGCGAGCCAGCGGGACTCCGAGGAGGGAGACCCTGAGACCTGGGCGTGTCATTTTTTTTCGAGCCGGGCGTTTTCGCTCGGTCTCGGGGCCCGGGACCCTCACAGATGGATCAGGCTCGAGAAGTGCAACAGAAAGATACGGTCCGGGGCTACAGTCGTGAAATCTATGTGGTGCCTCAATTTTTCCGAGACGTCGGATCTCAGGGTCCTGCAAGGCCCCCCGCCGCCACGGCCAGGTCCGCCTCAGAGTTCTGATCGGACGGCTCCGTAGCCATTTCGGCTCAAGCGACCCACACGGCGACCCCGACCCCGCCCCCTCCCCACCGCTCCCCGCCGGGGTCCCGAGAGCTCGTCGCGCCATGGCCATGGTCGCCGCACGCCTGCGGCCCGCGTTCGGAGCGGCGCTCCGCCGCACCTCGGCGCTACCGGTCGTCGCGCGCGCGGGGGCGCCGGTGCGCGTGACGGCCGCGAGGGCCTTCAGCGGGAAGGCGGGGGCGAAGGTGTGCAAGGTGATCGAGCAGGAGCTGAAGCACGAGGAGGAGAACTACGAGCAGGCGAAGGAGATCAAGGCCTTCCTGGCCTCTAGCCCGTTCAAGCTGGTGGACGAGCCAGGCAACGTGAACATGGTGCTCGAGCGAGAAATGGACGGCAAGGTCGTCAAGATCGAGTGGCAGCTCATGCCGCCCTACGACCCCGAGGGCGACGCCGAGGGCGGAGAGGGCGAGGAGCCCACGGCCACGGAGCTCTCGGTGTCGGTGGAGAGCAAGTCCACGGGCGCGGGGCTCATGTTCTACTGCAGCACCCAGACCGGCGAGGAGCACCGCTATGTCATCGGCCAGGTCAAGACCTACGCCTCCGCGGAGGAGCGCGACAGCGTGGGCGCCTACAACGGGCCCGAGTTCGAGGACCTTGACGACAAGCTGCAGGAGGCGTTCGACGAGTACCTGGCCGAGCTCGGCATGTCCAGCGAGGTCTGCGACTTCGTGGACCAGATGGCCGTGGACAAGGAGCAGCGGGAGTACTGCAGGTGGCTCCAGACCGCCAAGAAGTTCCTGGAGTGAGGCTCGATGCGCGGTGGTCCGGACGGGATGGGACGCCGAGCCCTCGGAGAGCAGCGGCCCGCAGCCGCGCGCCGCGCGCCACGCGAGCGGCCCCTCCCTCGGCTCCCGGAGGGCTCCGGGCGAGAAGTTTTGTCTGTGTCCGGCTGCACGGGGAGCCCCTCTGCTTGCGCAAGACGCACGATGTCTTGCGCTGCGAGGCCCTCGGCGCGGCTCACCCTTGCCAGCCCGGCATCTCGGCATCTCGGAATCCACCTCCGCCTTAGTTGCAGACCCGCGGCCTCTACCCACTGGGCTGACCTAGGGGCTGACTTTTCGCTGGCGGAGAGAGAGATATAGAGAGAGAGAGAAAACAAAAACAGAAGCGTTCTGGTCGGACGGCACCTCTGGCGAGATCCAGGGATCAGCGGTATCAGTACCTTTGATGCGTCCTCTGGCCTCCGCCTCTTGCCCCGTGTTCTTGCTCCTTCCTCCTCGTGCCGGCCCTGTCTCACGATTTTTAGTGGCAGTCCTATTTTCTCGGAGTGCTGCTTCTCACTCACTTGGGTCAGGGGGTGCTCGCCCGCGAGCACTTGAGTCTTTTAAGGAGACGGAGTCTGGCAGCGGTACCTTGTTGTTTCCCCAGTCTCAGCGCCACCGAGACGGGTACACAGTTAATAGGCTTTTCGGCAGTTCGTCGGATGGTATCGGCGGGGAAGCACACCACGTCGTCTGGTCGGCCAGGGAGCCAAGGAGTTCGGCGAACGAATTTGGCGTACAGACGCTCCAGCGTCCCATTGGTGGGGCAGCTGGGACCTGTAGACAACGAGCTTCCCCAGCGTCCCATTGGTGGGGCAGCTGGTCCCCCTCGTTTCGCGCCCTCCTTCAGGACCTGACGCCCCTGGGGTCCTGAACCCCCCCCTCCCGCGGGGTCCTGTGACCCTCATCCGCCCTTCCGCCGCCCCTCCGCGGGCCCCTAGTGGTTACAATACACATATTTCGGCATGCGGACTTCACTAACATGAGCGTCTGGGATTTCGTGAAGTGCAATGTTTGGCGCAGCGAATTTCGCGAAAAACGTCGGTTCGGATTTCCCAAGTGGTTATGATGCCGTATTTCGGATTTTAGACATGTCTTCCGACGTACTTCGGGAATTCTGAAACGGGCTGTCATGAAATCTCGGGAAGCTCATATATGTAAAATCTGAAATCTGAAACACAATGAATAGAGGCGCCAACGATTCGGAATAGGTGCAGATCGGACGCTCAGAATCCAACGAGTAGGTGATCTAGGCTCGAAATGGGATTCGCATGGGGTTTTCAAACACCCAATGAACAGATAGGTCAAGGGGGAAGGGTCCCAGGAGGAGGGGGCGGGATCGGGCTGGATAAGGTAGGGAAGGGAATGAGATGGGTTGGATGTGGGGGAATCAGAGATGGGGAGGGGCCAAGCTAGGCGCGCTCGCCCCGCATCTGACATCCCACCCCTCCCTCCCGCCCCGTCCGCGCCGATTCGGCTCGGGCCGGGCCCCCGCGCGCGGCGGCCCCCGCCTCCTTTTCCTTATCATCCATCCTCCTTATCCTCCTCCTCCTCCTCCTCCTCCTCCTCCTCCTCTTCCTCCTCCTCTTCCTCCTCCTCCTCCCCCTCCTCCCCCTCTTCCTCGACTCCTCCTCCTCCACGCACTCCCCTATCCCCATCCCCCCCCCTTCCTCCTCCTCCTCCTCCTCCTCCTCCTCCTCCTCCTCCTCCTCCCCCTCCTCCTCCTCCTCCTCCTCCTCCTCCTCACGACGACGACGACGACGACGACGACGGGGGCAGCGGCGGCGGCGGCGGCCGGGCGGCGGCGGCCGATGCCGCTGCGGCGCCCTGCGGGCTGCGCCAGCGCCCCGGAGGCCGAGGCCGGGAGAGACCGAGAGAGAGAGAGAGAGAGAGAGAGAGAGAGAGAGCGAGAGAGAGAGAGAGAGAGAGAGAGAGGGAACGAAAGAGGGGGGGAAGAAGGAGGACAAGGAGGACAAGGGCGGAAAAGGGGGAGAGGAGAAGTGGATGAGGAAAAGGAGGAGCAGGAGGAGCAGGGAGCAGGAGGATCAGGAGGTGAAGGTAAAGGCGCAGAAGGGAGCGGACACCGTCGTCGGACACCCCCCACAACCAATAAGGCCCACGACCGAGAGGGGCGGAGGAGGTGAGGAGGGCCCTCGATTCAAAATTCGGACCATCCTCCGCAGGCCCCCTCAAGTCTCGCGGAGGAGGAGGAGGAGGAGGAGGAGGATGAGGAGGAGGACGGTGGCGACGCTTTCTTGCTCGATGCCAGCTGTCGTCTAGTCGCTGCGACGACGCTGTCTTCGGTCTTCGGTGAGCCGCTGGTGGGCGCACGAACGATTCGATTCCACTTCTAGAGTTCGAAAGATGAAAGTGCTGCGTGTGTCCGAGTGTCCTTCTCCTCCTCCACCTCCTTCTCCTCCTCCTCCTTCTCCCCCTCCTCCTCCTCCTCCTCCTCCTCCTCCTCCTCCTCCTCCTCCTCCTCCTCCTCCTCCTTGGGAGCGCAGTGCGGAGCGCCGGGGCGGCGAGTGCGCGAGGCGGCCTCTCTAGACGCCGCTCGGCAAATGCGCAAATGCGCAACGCCGTAACAACAAGCCGCAATAAAGAATAGAGGAACGAGGAGAAACGACACCACCACAACTAGGGCAAGGAGCTGAGGAGCTGGGGGGGGCCCCAAGTGCGCCGATGTCCAGCTCGAGGAGGCGTCGTGCACCTCCTCGCTGGAGGTGGCCAGCCTGGTGGTGGCGTGGTGGCGGCGTCGCCTCTCCCCCCCCTCTCCGAAAAGCACTGCGTGTCCGACGTCCTGAGGACCGTCCGACTTGTTATCCTTTTTCTCCTCCTCGTCCTCCTTCTCCTCCTCCTCCTCCTCCTCCTCCTCCTCCTCCGCCTCCTCCTACTCCTCCTCCTGCTCCTGCTCCTCTGGCTCAGCAGTCAGGCTTACTCCGCGGAATCACGTCTGAGTTCATCCTGCACCATCCTCGTCCTCCTCATCCGGCGGCCCGGGGGCCCTGCAGCAAAAAAACACAGCGCCGCGCCGAATGGACGCTTAGAGGGCGGGCGCGACCGACTAAAAACGACGCCGCCACCACCGAGGCGAGAAGCCGAAGGGGTTTTCCTGATGGCGTGCCCCCCCTGTCCAGGTCGAGGCATCCGCGATGGCGAGCTCGGGAAAGCATCGTGGAAGAATCGTGCACCTCCTCGCTGGAGGTGGCCCCCTCGGTGGCGACGGCGTCGCCTCTCCTGCGCCAGTGGCCACAGGAGCGCTACTTCACTTCAGCATGTGCTTGGCAGAGCGCCAGCTGCCCGGAACGTTGGAATCGTCCTGCCCCTCCCTCACCCTTCCTCCTCCTCCTCCTGCCCCTCCTCCTTCCTCCTCCTCCTCTGGCCATCGCTCGGACGTCCATTCCCTGTGTTTTGTTTGGTTTCGTGCGTGTTTTTTTGTTCTCGTCAAATCATCAAGGGTGGTCCTCGATGGTCCTCGGAGTCCTTGCCGAAAGAACAATGCACGCGTCCGAGCGATGCCTCGCCCTCCTGCCCCTCCTCCTCCTCCTCCTCCTCCTCCTCCACCTCCTCCTCCTCCTCCTCCTCCTCCTCCTCCTCCTCCTCCTCCTCCTCCCCCCCCTCCTCCTCCTCCTCCTCCTCCTCCTCCTGATCCTCGTCCTTCTCCGCTCCCCCGCTCGTCCGCCCAGCCCCCCTCGCCCTCCACCCTACGATCCTCCTCCTCCTCCGCCTCTGGCTTCTTCGCCTTCCCGAGCCCCTGGCGCTTGGCGGCCAGGATCTGCGCTGGGCCTTGAAGCTGCTGCTCGGTCTTCTCCTCGGGTTTCTCCTCCTCCTCCATCTTCGGCCTGACGAGCTTGATGTAGCCCTGGCCGTCGATGGGCCACGTCTCGAGCCCCTTCCCAGACTGGGAAGTCTTGGCCACGAGGGTGCGCAACGTCACGGTGACCTTCTCCATCCCCCTCGCCGGCGGCCCGAAGAGCGCAGCAGAAATGGCGGCCATCTCGGCGCCGGCGCCGTCGTCGTCAGCCGCGGGCGCCGCTGCGAGTGGCGCCGGAGCAGCGGACGGCGCCCCCTCGGCAGCAGCCGGGCCCGGAGCGTCGTGCTCGGCCTCGACCGCCTCGACCCCCTCATCACGCAGGCGGCGGACCTCGGCTTCAGCGTGGCTCAGGAAACCGCAGCGCATGTCATACACCAACTCCATCTCGTCATTGATCACCTCCATATTGCACTTATCCGCCTTGTTGTGGGACGGGACGATCCACGCGGGCACCAGCAGGTCGGTGTTGAGGGAGGTCGAGCCCGAGCCTGCGCCACGCGAGAAAGAGAGAGAGAGAGAGAGAGAGAGAGAGAGAGAGAGAGACAAAAAAGAGAGAGCGAGGGAGGGGCGGAGGGGCCCCAGGGAGGGGGGGGGAGAGGGGGGCCCTGGACTTGCCGCAGGCGGCCGCCTCCGCCGTGGCGCTGCCGGCCGCGAGCTCCGGCTCCGCTGGTCGGCAGGCAAGCGACCGCCGCCCCCGCCCCCCCCCCCGGGGCCCTGGGGAAGAGGAGAAGAAGAAGGGGGGGAGGAGAAGGAAGAGGAGGAGGAGGGAGGAGGAAGAGGAGGAGGAGGAGGAGGATCGGGGAGGCAGGGGATAGGGGAGGAGGAGGAGGGGGGATCAGGAGGAGGAATTACCGCCCTGCCCTGAGATTCGCGGCCCGGAGCACCATGGATGAAAAAGTCTATGCCAGCAACCTTGCAGATCTTGTAGTTCTTGGCGCCCTGGACGAACGCGGTCGACACCATGCCGCCGAGGACCATCCTCACATCGTCCATCTTCTTAGCGTCGCGGGCGTCGGAGTGCAATTTCAGATCTGGGTTCTTGGCGCTGAAGTCCGCCTCCAGGAACTCGCCCGCCATGCCCCTCTGTTGGTAATCGTGCATGGTCTTCGAGACGAATGCTTGCAGATGGCTGCGAATCAGGTGGACCAAGTAGAGCGGCACGTCTCCTTCATCGTCGACTGGCCACGACATGAACTCGGACAGGGTGCCCATCGACGACGGGGGGTGGCCGCGCGTGTCTTCGGCGGTGGCGTCGCCGTCGCCTTGCTCATCTTCTTCCTTCACCATCTGCAACTCGACCTTCTGCACCTTTTCCTCCACCTTACCTGGACTGCCTGCCGGGCTCCGATTCGGCACCATGTTCTCCGCGATGTGCTTCACGACCTTCTTGATGGCATCCTGGGCTGGGGGGCCGTCGCACTCAGAGACTCCAGTGATCAGCGCGTGCCACACCTTGCACCATTCCTCCCTGTTGTAGACCACGGCGTCCACGGCTGCGAGATCGACGACGTGGCTCTCGATGCGGGGCGCGAGACTGGCCTGGCAGCGAGGCGTTCTTCCTCTTCCTCCTCCTCCCCCTCTCCTCCTCCTCCTTCCCCTACGCTGCTCCTCCTCCTCCTCCTCCTCCTTCTCCTCTTCCTCCTCCTTCTCCGACCTTCTCCTCTTCGTTCTCCTCCTCCTCCTCCTCCTCCTCCTCCTCCCCCCCTTCCCTCCCCCCCTCTCCTCCTCCTCCTCCTCCTCCTCCCCCTCCTACTCCCTCTCCTCCTCCTCCTCCGCCTCCTTGCCTTTCCTCATTCTTCTCAACCTCCTCCTTTTTCCTCCTCCTCCTCCTCCTCCTCCTCCTCCTCCTCCCCCTCCCAGGCGGACCTGGAACTTGCTCAGCGCAGCCTTGGTCTCCCCCAGGAGTTGGCCACCAGAGCCGAACTGGCCTGTCAAGAGCTCGAGCGCCTCCAACGTGTACTGGGTGCGGATCTTCAGGAGGAACTCGAGATCCCGCTCGGCAGTCGAGCGGTCCTTGAGCAGCTCCTGGAACTCCACGGGGACGTCGCCCTTCTGGACGGTGATTTTGGCCACCTTCATGAGACACGCAGTCCACTCAATCTTGAAGGTCTGGGTGCAGTACGGCTCTATGCGCGCCAGCACGTCGGCCACGTTCAGGTCGTGCTTCGGCGAGATTTCGCC